ATTTTTTGGTTACTTTACGTGAAGAATTTAATTTTTTTTAACGAATCTTGATTGTAGTGAACATGACATCCATTATGTCTTTTTCCTGATAGCAAATTTCTACCTTCACAAAAAAGATTTAATATATTTAAAATAAATTTGAAAATCTGAATAAAAATAATTATCAATTTGGTTCTAACGCTAAATAAAAATCCTGCATTCAACCGTATTTACTTGAAATCTTATTGTTAGTATATAGATTCTAACTAACTCAAAACCTGGCAAACTATTTATATCTTAGTCTGTCATCTATAATCACGAATATTATAACAGGAAGAAAGTAATAAGACGTCTCTAATCGTAATAATTAATCTCGTGACTCCCTCGCGTACCGTCGCTTTTGAAACTAATCTATATAACGCTGTCATTAAGCGAACCCCAACGTATTTCCCGATTATATACTTCGTTTTACGAACGATTTAATCTGACTAAATATATGGTATAATATTCGAATGGCGCGTCACGTTATGAGGGGGTGAGTGGGGGGGGGAGGGGAGAAGACGGGGGATAAGATCTATTTTTGTAGAGAAAGAAGTTTCGCTTGTCACGTCGAATAACGACGATCAAAATCTCTTTTAAATGTTTTATATGTGGGTCATAATAATAAGGATGGGAAAGTTAGACTTTTTCTATAGGAATATAAAAGTTAACGAATGAAAAATATTTTTACGTAAAATGTGATATACGAAGTAATGAAATGGGGGAATGAAATATAACTATAAAGCGGGGATCATCTTAAATAATTCTTAAGACGTTATGCATAAATAGTTAAACGTAGAAAAGATTAGGATTAAAAAAAGTGGTGTCTCGTTGGTTACAGATGGAGCATAAAGAAGTGAAGTCGGATTCGCAGGAGCAGCAACAACAACAACAAAAGGAACAGTAGCGTTGAGAAAGGGCCTGGAGGAGGTCCTGGAGAAAAGAACGGAAGTTACCCTCTCGAGGAGGACGAGAGGACGTCATAGTCCGTCTAGGTTGGGCGGCTAAGACGATGGCCGCAACTGACGGGCAAATCGTCGTGGCGGCCGCACGTTGGGCCGAGGAAGCAACTTATTTACGAGAATTTGTCACTAAGTATCGCTTGCCGGCTGTGATCAAGATAACTAAGGGTCAATATGGTGGGCTTGGTGTACCAACTTTGCCAGCACCGAGTCTTCAAAGCACGGCATTGCTCCTATCGGCTGGTCGTCGACGCAAAATTGTAGCACAGGCTGTCAAAATCAAGGAAGGACGCAGAGTCGTTGGAGTTGGACCAAGACTAGCTATTCCAGATTCTTACGCTGGATATTTTGAAATTTTGAGCGAGGAAGGTCGAGCGGTGAGTCGAATTATAATGATCATTGGGATAGTTTTACGTATTTCGAGCTACAGTTAGGATTTTTGTTAACTCGTTGCAACACACTCTACAGGTTCGGGGAATCGAGTCTGTGAACGAGCTATCTCGAAGATGCCCGGAGGAAGGAGCCTTGGTAAGAGAAACGGTACGTGGAATAGCCTGCAGGGTAGATGATGAGTCTGGAATCGTCGTGCCTGAAGGAACAAGAACTCTGGCCGCTGGTGAGACAATTGTGACAGCCGGCGAGGTAGCATTACCAGGTCGTGGACGATTCCTACGATGCGTCGACTGTCGAGGAGAAAGCATTCTTCTGGGCATGGATCAACGTGGACGTTTCAGTGCACTAGCCAGAGAAGACAACATCAGTGGGGTTCACACGGCGAAGGCGTTGCTAAGTAAACGTCTACCGCTAACGGTCAGATTGGTTCACGGGCAGCCACCGAGAGGCTTAAAATCTTCATCCCAGTTCGTGCCGGAGCTTAGGCTCCTTTCGACCTTCGAAGAGGAACACGTGTTCGCTTTGCCCTTACAGAGAGAAGGAGCTGCCGTGGCGTTGCCATTGGCGGCACCTTTGAAGTTAGTCAAGGCGAGAAACGAGGAGGCCCTTAGACTGATGCAAGAATTCACGAGGTTGATCGAACGAGCCTCCCGGCTCGTAGCCGACGTCGCTGATCGTGCTCATGTTCTCGACGGTCGCTTAGGCGAAAGTAAGCCCTCGAGACAGACGAGAAGTGCTTCGGGATTTCTCAGGCGATCCTCGGCCAACTCGGAAAATGCTCCTCTGAGTCATCATAGAAACAGCAACGGCAGTCATCATCATCATCATCATCATTATCACAGTAGCAGTCATCAGACATCCTCCGGTCACGTCGGATACCGGGACGAAAATCGCGTGCCTCCATCTTCCTGCACCGAGGATTATGACGAGATCGATCAAATTTACGATTACGTTCGCGGCTTCGCGCCTTTACCCAAAAGCGTCAGATCTCCCTACGAGAGCCCGTTGAATCCCGGCCAAAGTTCCAGTCCACCGTTGACACCTGTCACCGTGACAATTGCGCCATTGCTCGACGATAGACCGGAACCGCCACCGATCGAGACCATTCCTACCAAGAAAATTCAAGCTGAAAAGAGAACGAGGCGAGCGGTAAAGGAAGCCCCTCAACCGAAACTTGAAAAGCCACCTTTGGCTAAGTTATACGTTAAAAATAGCGGCACTCAAAGGGGACGTCCTTTGATGAGGCAAAAAAGCGCCTCGCCTTTAAAGGAGACACCACCTGGTTATAAAGGTGGTTCCCCACTTTTCAATATACGCTATAAGAGTCTGACAAATTTGCAACAAGCTATGGAACTTGACGGTACTTTAGATTCCAGCCATTCCGGTGGTAGGACATCCGGTGATTCCGGTGCTGGTGCTAAACTTCCAGAAAAGAGGTATATAAAATAATGTTTCGACAAACGATGTCGACATCGATTCAAATTCTTATTATATAATTTGTTTTACTTTGATTATTTAGATCGCGACGTTTAAGCAGACCAAGATCGTTGACCAATTTAGTCTGGGAACTACGAGGTGGAAGCGGGCTTGGATGTACGAGACCGGAAACACCACCACCCGCTACCACTGCACCATTACCACCGACCAAATGCGGGCCCCGTTTAGCTGTCACGGTTGTAGCACCTCGACGCGTTGGCACGCTCTACCTCTAACTCGTAAGTTACTTTTTTTTTTTCTAATTTTGTTAGACAATTTTTAATCGATATTGTCTTGAAATAATTTACATATAATCCGTCCTGTTTGCCAACTACTTTACGAAAATATTGAGAATTTTTGATCTTCTACTTTGATTTTCATATAAATTAATTTTATAAAAATATAAAATATAACACTAGTCACAATGTAATAGTTACTACGTGTGATTTGTCTAAGAAAAAAGGATTGAAATCATGAAATTGACCAAGCTCTTGCGAGGCCCCAGGAAATTGTTATATAGGAATATTTTACTGGGAGTTATAAAAGATGTACTTGAATTACAAGACAGAGGCAGGCAGTAGCACAGCTTCCCTATTGCCATAAGTCCTTATTCGTTTAATCGTCACCCCCTCTGTCCCTCTTTTCCACTACAGATACTTATAATGACGTCTAGGAAACCCACTTCTCCCAGATGGTTCAGGAAGTCCCCCGATTACCACCGTCGGCTGTTGTTAATCCATCGACGGACCAGTTATCGAGCAGAGTAGTATTACTCGTCATTTTTACGATCTTTTCTAAGAAGTAAGACGATACGAATATGAAAGGAATATCGTCAGTTTTCTCGGGAAGACTTTTAATTAGCCATTTCGTGCTCTTCGATTCCGATTATTTCTCATGTTTTCTCACGTATTACTAATTACTCGAATGAGACCCCATTTAATGAACTGATAATGATAATGGCCAATAACGCGTTTCGATTAATCCATACTGGTCTCGAGTTCATTCGTTTAATACCGACTACTAAATCGACCAAGCGAGGAATCCAAGTTGATGCTGTTGTGCACTTGGCCAGCCTCGGGATACACAACGTCATCGTTCTATCGCACGTTGTTGCAGCGAGATGTATAATAGTTCTGGTTTACCTCGGAGCCCACTCCGTGAGCGGAATTAAACGAGACCAGGTTCAACGGCTGGACGAATCCTTGACTTCCGGTCGGTACCGTTCGTACGTTCGGTACCGTCTTTCGCTCGGTCATTCAGACAGTAGTCAGTCGTGTTCTTCTTCCTCCACATTCAAACGTATTATGAAAATCCTGATTACGATAGCAAAAGAAAAAGACATTCTTTCGTCGATTTCGCACTAAATCGTTTTGATATCTTCTCTCGTCACTTGCGGCTAGCCACAAATCCCCCTCCCTTTCCCTGGTCGACTACGAATCACGCAACGAATCACGCAACGAATTACGATATCTCTCTCTCTCTCTCTCTCTCTCTCTCTCTCTCTCGCTCTCTTACCATCTCAATTCGATCGAGAATCGGCCTAAGTCTACCCCCAATCATCCGACATAATCCGAGCTATTCGCCATTAGACGCTTAACCGAGTTCCTTATTCGCGAAGATCGTCTGACCATTACTCAACTACTTTCTACTTCCCTAGGTAATCGCTCGTTCGTGGACAACACTCCGCAACCAAGCTAGTTTCTTATTCGGCTAAACACATGTCATTCGACAAACATTAATCCTTTATTCTATAATAAGTTATTCACCTAATAGTATATACAACTTTTCGTACACGTATTATCAATCGATTAAGGATGAAAATGAAACCAACAAAATAAAAATCAAAGATCGTCTTTTATTTAATCCTTTTTCTTCTTCTCTTCTCTTCCTCTCTTCGTCCTCCTCCTACCTTTACTCCTTTAATATCTCCTTTCGTCAAATTAGCTCGGAGGTAAGAATGAACGACGCTTGGTTGCACATCCGTTATTACGTAGATATATACCACACATCTATGACGGTATAGTAAAGTCGTCCCTTTAACAGACGTAATTAGAACTTACCGCACTTTCGTATGTGCATATGGCGACCGTGCTAGATGGCGTTACCATCGATACTTATCGTCGGCCATTATCGGCTATCGTCGATAATTAGAAAGCGATCTTTCTGCATTTTCTCAATGGGGAGGGGAACATTACTCTCGGGATTGTTATCTTGAAAATTGCTATACCGTCTCCTCCTCCGGCGCCATGGACCACTCTATGACGAGGACGTTGATTAATACCAACATATTTTACTACTACTACGTGCTCGCACGATTATGGCGGGAAACACGACTCGACTCTTCTTCTTCTTCTTCTTCCATCTTTCTTTCCCCCGTATACGTATACGTACATAAAACATAGATATATTCGTTCGAAGATATACATTTTTCTTGGGTCATTCGACGCGGACACAACGTTAACGTAAACACGTTATAGCGAAAATCACCGGGTTTCGTATCTTCATATTCTTCTTATTCTTCTTCTTCACTCGTAACACCATCATACCAATTTATTAATATCGACTGACGGTGTGTAATCCCGTACCAGGTCATTTCTACGTCATCAATAAACGCATTACAAGCGATATTACGAAACGAATAGGACACACGACTATTCTTTGTTAGATATTTTCTTGTGTGTTTCTTTTTTTCTTTTTGTTTTTTTTTTCAAACGTGACTCAATTCTTTTTCTTCTTCTTCTTCTTTCAATGTGATTGAACCTTAGCACCAAGGTGTCTCTCGTTAAATAACCGGAAGCGTAGGGTATAGATTTCGTACGAAGTGCATTTACCGTTTCATTTTACTTGGAACCTAACGTGCTTGGCAAGCTTATAACGTTCGGCGTTAGAAAGAGGAGAATAAAACGATATCGATGAATCGTGTCGCAAACATCGACTATGTGCATCCGGCATTTCTAAGTATATGTTCGTATATATAAAAGAAAAGGTATAAGAAAAAATGTACGACAAAATCTTGGATAATGCATGCATGCATGCATGCATGCGTCCATGCGAACGAAAAGAAAAATAGATAAGATCAACGTCGTATAAATCCGGAAATCACTTAATTTTTAAATTATAAAAACTTTTAAAAATATATATATGATCTTATTATTCTCTAATAATCTTTGTTTGCTCTAAGAATTATGATATATTCTATTAATATTTCTTTATATAAAATACTTACACACTTCATTGGTTGTTTCATTAAGTTCTAAACATACCCCACCCATCCACTTATGGTTATACAAATTACAAGAATAAATTTAATATAATGTTAATCAATTTACAAGGAAATCTATTGTAAAACTTATTTGTTTTATCTCTAAGTATAAAAAAACATCCATTCCTGAATTTTGTTACCAAGTAACTTTCTGTTACATCTAAAATACGTATATATATATATATATATTTATAATTATGTGTATGTAACTACACGTGTAGTTATATCTCATCAAATATTTTCACTCTTGTCTCACCGAAATCATACATATTTATCGTATTACGTTCGTATTGCATGCAAATCACGAAGAACGACGTTCTCGCGATTAAAAAAATCCCCCTTCTCTTTCTCTCTCTCTCTCTCTCTCTATATATATATATATATATGTTTTTTATTCCTGGACACTTTGTCCCATTGTCTGCCTACATGTATCTTTCTTTAAAATAAAACTAAACCCCACATCCACCATCCGCCGAACGTTTCGATACTGACTCATCATTCATGACACTTTTTCACCTATTTTCCACGACGAAATCTATGCTCATCTTTCTTAAAATAAAAAGAAGAAAAAGAAAGAAAGAAAAAAAAACGATAGGGGGAGACGAATCATTCGCATAAGCGTCGTCAGTATGTCTGCCGGAGAAAGCTTCGAGTCCTAAAACTCCCACGCATCCTGTCGGCAACGCGTGGGTATGCCGATTTATCCATTTGGATCGGATAAGATAAAAACAATCCGTTAGAATCTTAAGATTCGACTTTGGTTTACTGAAATATTACCACAAACGGACCCCTTACCTCTTACGTGTTTATGTTTTTATTATCATTTATTATCACTTCCCGACCGGTATTATATTTTAAACCAATTTATATGACTTTATTGGGGAGGCTGGAGGGTGGGGAGGGTATATATGAAACGTTACATAAATTAAAAAAATAATATCCTCTATTTATTCTCGCGAGAAAGAAAGAAAAAAAAGTAATTATTGGATAAATTATATACGACGAAGAATTTTATTATTATTATTATTATTGTTATATATTATTTTTTTTGGTTTGGTTTGATTATTTTAATCAGCATAATAAAATGACTATTTGTTTGAGTTTGAGATAATATTTTTAGGATAAAGCAACATGTATCTCATTCACAAACTGACATAAATCAAAATACTATCCTGCCCCGATGAAAAGTTACAATTAACAAAAATATGTGAATCAATTTTGTCAAATTAATTATAAAGTTTTTTTATTTTTTTTTTTTTTTATACAATCTTATTATTTATCTAATTCTACGTAAGTATTCCGACAAAAGAAAGCATTACAAGTGCAACGAAAAAACAAAAAAAATTACTTGAAGTTAAAAAAGAGAAAAACAAAATAAACATTTATATTTGACATCGTTCCCTTACGATATGTAAAATCTTATCGCAATTCTAGATAAGATAAGATTAGATAAATTTGTCTTGATAAGATTATACCATTCTGATATAATTCGTATTACATTTTCTTTATTTTATTAATCTTCTCTTTCTCCATTAACGCTGAATATAATATCACTTTAGTAAGTTCTTATTTTCTTATTTCTGTTGACATATAAAATCTCATAGTCAATTTTTTATCATCTCTTTTATCCCCCCCCCCATTCCGTTCTTTATCTGATTAAAGAAGATGAAAGATATTGACTGAACTTGTACAACGTAAAATTGGCGTGGTTACTAAACGCGTAATGATCAAATCAATTCTTATGTATGCCACATATATAAAAACATACATACATGTAACTAAACCATAAATATATACACACATATGTACGTACGTAGATATATATATATGCATACTACTTAAGAAAGCTACTAAGTCTTACGTAAGGCTCATTTAATCGAGAAATATTTCTCTTCTTCTTCTTCTTCTTCTTATACTTATTTTTCTTCTTCTATATCTTCTTTCATTATATATATATATTTTTTTTTTTTAATACTA